AATTGGTGTTCATTCACATTAAATAGTGCATACGCTTTTCAGTAGGAGTGATATTATCATTGGTATCCATTGAAACGAAATCAAATATGATAATAAATTTATGAAACAAGTTTATTTTTTACCGGCTGCCAATTACTGTATTGCATGTGAAAATTTCTCGTTACGAGAACGTAGAATTTAGCTATTCAATTTATATCTTTTCCTGAAATCTTCCTACCCTTCCATTATGATCAATAAATGCTTTGTATCGCATCAAAGTGCTTCTTTCTATAACAGTTCTAACGTCTCCTAATGTCTCATTATCGGCGTAAACGAATGTACAAACAGCATGTAAGCACGATCGTAATTCAATCACCGAACGCTCAAACATATGTCTAACTGCATGTGTTTTCAATAACTATTCCCGTAACGCTAAATTTGATGTATTGAAACTGTAAAGCTGTTTAAAACTGACGCGTAACTTTGTGTTTCGAAACAAGCGAGTTTCAATTACAGAATAATGTTGAGACGGATGTATCGCATGATATCCATGTCTGATAGTCAATTTGTGGCACCTGCTGTGTGGCCGCTTTAGTCTACCCCCCCCCAAACGGAACTCCTGTGTATCAAAAACGAATCTTTTGCGAAATTCATATAGTGGGAAATATAAAAAACCGTGCAACGTAGCATATGGAGGGTGCTTATATGGAGGGTTCACTGTACTTCCTTCCAAACGGAATTTGCTTTTTTTTCTGGGGGTAGGTTATTTTTCGTTGATCATAAACTTCACTAATAAACGAATCTACCTCTCCTTTGTACAGTTTCGGACGTAATGTTAACTCGAGTTAACCTATTCTATGTATTACAACCCCTTATAATATAGATGTAATGAAGGCGCGATGAAGGCGCGATGAAGACGCGATGAAGATGCGATGCAGTCATGTTCTTTTTTTATATATAATCAGATCATCACTATTGCGCCACGAGTATGTGTAACTTTTATGTAAAAGGTCACCAGGTTATATTTTTGTCGGAGCTAAACGCGAGTTTTCTTTACCGACTGACGAACTTCCAATCATAGAGTTAAGTATGGATTCTCTACTGTTACTTTATAAACCTGGCGTTTACTAAGCCTGTGAATCCTGGGGGGATACGTTCTTCCCCTGTTGCTGTCTTCGAAACGAGCATATATTTTATCGTAGTTTCGGATCACTTTAATGTGCTGATCTTATGTTATCCGGGGAAGATTCGGGTTTAAAATTTTGAAAACAATGCAAAGATCTTTTCCCCAGCTTTTACTAATGTTTTTATATTTTTTTATATTCTTATGTTCTTTTGGAGTCAACATTATGGTTTGTATCATAGTTTCCCAGTTTAACCAGTTAATGGTATTTCAATTTCCTAAATTCTGATATTGATATTTTTAGTCCGGCCTATTTCAGTGTTTCGGGATACTAGGAGAGGATACAGAAGTAAAGAAATTGTTTACAGATGACGAATGGAATGAAATGATCAAGGATTCTAATAATAATGTAAATTAAGTAATATGGAAAACGAACAAGAAAGGCCCTTCTAGACAAAATTTCTGGGATTAACGAATTTGTCGTATTTACCTTTCATTTAATGTATCGGCTAATTAACCATTCTCTGTCCCCTACTATTAAACATTCGATACATTTTATTCCCGAGTAAAAGATTGACGATCATATTTGTTTTCCCCGATTTAGTTCGTCCACTGAGTAATAAATTGAACGGCCATTGTGGTCGAGTTGAGACCGTTGAATCTTTCCGCATTCTTGCACTCGTCAATGTGATAAACAAACATTTCGCACAAGATTCAAATTTTTCAGCGTGAGATGGAATGAAGCTTATTACGTGACATTTTTTTTGCCGTACGGCCAAATAATAAACGTTATTATATTTGTCAAAAGTACTACAGAAAATTATTAGATATTAATATTTGACAAATAACCCTTTTTTACTAATGTATGATGGATATAGCAGATATACGGAATTTCAATAAGGTCTATACCATGTTGCGTACATAATTCTCGCTTTTTTGATCACGATTTTCGTGATACAAATTATTACGATAATAATGACGTGTTGGAGAGAAATTCATTAATGAACAGCAGAAGACAAATTATTGAAGAATAAAAATCAAGAACTTACAGACTTACCAAAACAACAAAACAAAAACAGGTTGCAAAAGTTAAAGCAAATTAGTAAGCAAAGTAAAAAAAAAATTCAGAGAAAGGTTCCAAACTTGTATTATTCAGTAGAGCAAATAATTACGAGGTTGGAGTACAGAATTTTAGAATTAGTACATGGATATAAACAGGAGTTAGAATGTAATTATTGTTTTTGGGATTATGATAATTCAACTTTTCTTAACTTTGATACTTCTCCTGCCACTCATCAAATGGTAGCATTGGAAAAGAATGATAGTAATACTGATATAGTCTTCATTTTGCAGTAAATGTAAAAAAGATTATTATAACAATATAAATATTCTTCCTTACTGTGAAGAATGTGGTAGGTTTAAAAGAATAAGAATAGGTGTTATTGTCGCTGTTTAGCAAAAAATAAGTCAATCAAACCTCTTTCTACGGAAAAGTTAATTGCTCAGTCTTTCAGTTATCATTTAGAAAACAAGACTAGAAACTAGAAAAAGATTTATCAACCACTAAAGAAGAATTAGATACTGAGTGGAAAGGAGTAGTTAAATTATATATTTATGACAAATCAAAAAAAATGAGGTGATGAGAAATAAAGCAATTAAAAAATTAGAAGCAGAGAATGCTAAGTAAAAAAATAAACAATTAAAAGAGCAACAAAATGGTCAAGTTGCTCAAATTGAAGTTAAAGAAAGGATGACCTTGATTAAAAGTAATAGTAATAGTAAAGAAATAAATTTAAATTTCCAAGTAATTTTTCTTGATCCAGATATTCCTGAAGAGTTTGGATATTATTGATTTTAGCAACATAGGGAGCAATTTTCTCTCCTTGAGCTTTTAAAATGTTTTTAATGGTGCTGTAATTCTTGGGTTCCATGGCGGATTTCATGTAAATTAGTTTCATATTATAATTTTTTGTATAGAGATAATCCTATATTATACATTAATATTAATTTTGTTATGATTTATATTTATCACATTCTGGTGTAATAAATAATAAAGTAAACATTAAAATTAACGAATCTATAAGTTAGGAATGAGCACCATTATTACTTTTCAGAATGCCATTAGTATTAGTCACACTATAACTAGTCAATTTTACAGCCACATCACAATCAGCCTCTCATTTATAGAATGTAAATGTTCACTTTGTCTGGTTTTGTTGCAACATGCCCATATTGCACAATTGAATGTTCACTTTTATATTTACGTTGCCTGGTTTGTTGCAGTATATCCTAATCTTGTTCATGTGTTAACTTGATCAGTCTGTTCCATTTCACAAACTGTTTATTTTACTTCATATATTATAAAATAATATAAATGAATCAAACCACAGATGTTCTTTTTTGCCTGCCAAGTTGGTCTAATTTAGTTTGTGTATCATGCCCGATTCCCATTTGAAGAAAAGACACACTTTGGGCTTTCAATTAGCTGTAGTAATGTGTGTGGCTTTTATTATTATTTGTTTTGGGAGGGGGCGAGGGGTTTTTTATTGTCTTGTTTAGCCATATGTGTAAGGGCGAAGTAATGTGACATTTTAGGCAAGTCGAAATACAATGACCGATAATATGTTGTGATGGTGCATATTTGTCTACCTACGCCACTTCAAACAACAGAAATCTATTGCCATAATTGTTGATATAACATCATCAGGAATGAGGCTGATTGTTTGTGTTACCGATCAAACCAATATTAACTAACATGTGATTATCTTTGCGCACTGACAAAGCTACGCCTAATAATATCCACTTAGACCTTGTGCCTCTACATCTCGTATTATTCTTTCAAACACCCCTTCGTCACACCTAAACAATCGTAATGTCATGATCCATTGTATTCCCATTCGGCAAATTGTCTATTTTTATTCTGTGAGCCCAAGTGTTTGGCATAATCGGCGTGATCACACATATTGAAGTGTCATTGTCAAGTGAAGTTGGGGGGAAGGGAAGGGGATGACTATATAATAGAATTCAAATACTGGATAAAAAAAACGATGTACCCTAAACACGACAAACAATCGACTAACGATATAGTGGTAAAATATTAATTGGCGTGATATGTGGGGAAAACAATCCAATGAGATTGGCGATAAACATGTGGGGTGCAGAACGAGATGGCAAAACTTTGTGTTCTTGATGATTGATGGGGGGGGGTGGTGGTGGAAGAGTTTCGAGTATTACTGTTGACATGTGTCTGCTATGTAGTTGTGGAAAGATTAATTCGTTTCCCAGCACAACAATCACAATAGAAATGACAATGCAAGGTCATGAGATTGTGGAATCGATTGTAGTAATGATATTAAACAATGGCCAAAGAAAGGGGAATTCGGATATCACATACACGTCGGTAATTGATCAATAATGATAACAACACAAAGTAAACGTCAATGATGGCAATTCCAAGCGTATTATACTTATTCGGCCATTGTCGGTATGTGGCTATTCATTCCTCTTTTCTAATTTGACCAACCGTCTAATAAGTTATATCACATAAAATGTTATATCATTCCATATTAGTCATGCGGACATTGGGTTTAGTCGTTGAAAGGAAGGAAGAATGGCGTTCCCTTCCAACATAATCGTGTTACAAACTCGGTGACACATTCCTCAACGATAGTTAGGAGCCTCTCATCATTCTTGAAAGTCATTAACTGTCACTATCACAACTTTGGGCAACGAACTTATAAGAAAAAATTTACATCAGACATAGATTTCCCACATAGATAAATTTATCACTGCACCCCTCCTTCTCTGCCCATTCCTTGTATAAATACACCCCAGACATTTTACTTTACCATAAAATATATGCTAATACGCTCATTTTACACTACGTTGCTGGACGACAATGCATAACTCTCGTGGGCGAGTTGGTGGTGGGTCTCCCTATTCTATAGCAAGAAACCATAAAGCAAAGGTAACTAGACGACTATAACGTATTTTAGAGAACGGGAACTGACGAGCGAATGTGAATATTAATACTCTTAGCATGTATGAATACACGAGAACAGCGACTCAAAACTTATACTCTTAATCTTTATACTCTAGCTCGCAGCTGACTATCATGACCTCTTGAAAGAACTATCTACTTCGGACATAGCCTCAATCGGCAACTATATACTAGGAGAACCTCTAGGCGCAGGTAGGGAAGAGTACCAGTCTTTACTGCTCTTCTTCCCACACACACACACTATACGAGTGTATTTGTAGTGGCAAGAAATGTGCTTTTTAAGAAGGGCGGGCTTATCTTTTGACAATAAATACAAACAAACTATCCAGGTTCATATGGAAACGTCAAACTCGCGACTCATCGTATGACTGGACAGAAGGTATGATGAACAAGGCTTTTTTTTTACATAATTGTATCATTTCAGTATCATATTGCTAGACCTTATGTAATATATATTTTTTACGTCTATACGAATGCCAATGTCTTTTGCATTCTTTACCGTTACTGTTATTACTCTTCTTTACTCTTACAATACTCAATTCTTTCTTTTCTTCTTCCCCCCCCATTTATTGTCAGGTTGCCATAAAAATCATCGACAAAATACACAAGGAAACGATTGCACCCGAAATATATCATCATCGGTATCTCCACCATCCAAATATTGTCTCACTTCTCGAAGTTATTCCTGCAGAAACCAAAATATATATGGTTTTGGAATACTGCGAAAACGGTGAATTATATAACTACCTGTCTGATAAAATAGCCAGCGGATCTTATGTGAAAGAGAGTGTGGCCAGACGGATGTTTGGTCAAGTATGTAAGGCTGTTAAATATTGTCACGACAGGCGTATAGTTCACAGGTAAGGATCGGGGCAGAAGTAAATATTGAGAAAGAGTCTAGGCTGTTCGATTGTGATAATACGTAAAGCATTGTCAATGCCCTGTTGTCGAATAATGATTACTGGGTGGCTTAATTATCATTAATATGTGGACGATTATCATTAATATATTTCTGATATTCAGTATTCTAATTTTTATGACTATTTAGAGATCTCAAGCTAGAGAACATTTTGTTGGATGCACACAATAACGTCAAACTTAGTGACTTTGGCTTTACACAAGAATATGAAAGCAAAAAATTACTAGATACGATGTGTGGATCAATAGGATATTCAGCTCCGGGTAAGACTTCTTTATCATATAACAATCGTCCATTAGCACTTCAACATTTTTTAGATTTAATAAACAGTTATTTTGTTATTAAAATATGTGTTCACTTTTTTATAGAGATACTAAGTGGCAAAAAATATCTTGGACCAGGTAAGAGGATAGTAATTAATTACATAGATACTTGACGATTCTTGCTAATAAATCCGTGTTATCAAACAGAGGCCGATATATGGTCACTTGGCGTTATTCTGTACACATTGCTCTGTGGGAGTTTGCCATTTGACGATGATGATGACAATGAAATGAAGGCCAAGATAATAAGAGGAGAATATGTCCTGGAAGATCACTTATCTGACGGTAAACATGTCGTTCCGTTTATAATTTGTTGAAACCAATATTCTTTTCTATCAACGTTTTTTCGTTTTCTCTGTTCATCTGGCGCGCTCTCATCTAATAACCGCTGGCTGAACTATTACTCATCTTACTTAACAGAAGCAAAGGATCTTATTCAGTCAATACTACAGCTCGAACCTAGTAAACGCTTCACATTGAAACAAATTTTGGATCATCCGTGGCTAAAGAAAAAGGATGACGAGGACGACGATGATAGTGAGTGGCAAACTGTGGACGAAGACGAGAATGATAGTCAGTCGGACGACGAGAATGATACAGATCACGACGACAAGAGTAGGGACATTAATGAGAATGATAATAACAACGATAACAAGGACAAGGAAAACAAAGACAATTCATCTACCTCAAAATCATCTGGATATGATGCTAAAACATATTTAGCTAAACAAAGAGAGGAAATATTAAAGGCACGACAGAATAACGGATTGCAAGAGAACAATTTTCAGATGACTGCATTGAATCATCGCAGGCCATCAGCACCATCAGCATTCAACACACGTTACAATCAATTCAATTCATCATCATTCAAAACACGTTATAATCAATTCAATCAATCATCATTGTCGCCAGCAACATCATCACAATCATCATTATCAACAAAATCATCCCGTAGATCGTCAGTTGATGGTAAAGCACTCAATGAGAAAATCCTATTCAAACATGCTGATGAAAAAGAACTATTAGATAAACTAGAACAATTAGGCTTTGACGCTGCCACAATAAAAAGCAGTGTATTAGAAGCAAAGTGTGATTCATCAAATGGACTATGGTGGCTATTGTTAGACAAAATGAGAGAAAGGAAAAAGGCGGGCATAGGACAATCGCCGAAATTGGTAGACATAGGTGTTGGCACTGATGATGACGTAGAATTAGTTAAATCAGTAGAGGCAGTTGTGGAGGAGAATAATGAGGAACAGGATACTTATGAGGAGGAGTCAGAGATAGAGGGGATAGAAGAGATAGATGAGGAAGAGGAGGAAGAGGATGATGATCCCGTAACATTATTAGTTGAATCACCACCGGAGTCTGAAGGGACTAATACCCCGCGTCACTCGCAGGACGGCGACGACCACAGGCCACCTGTGCCTCCAAAGAAATACGATGTGTTTCCTCCGACTCCTCCTCCAAAGACATATCACGTAGCTCCTGCGACGCGAGAACGACGGAAATCACTAATACTCTCATTCCCCGAAGCTGTAGAGCCTGTTCTCACGGCTATACATGCATCAGCATCTCCACCCCTCTCCCCCAAGAAATTTTCGTCGTTCGTGAGCCCACCAACTTCACGACCAGTTAGTCCTATACAGTCAATAGTGCCCATACCAAACACCAAATCACCGACTCATCGTAAGCGAGGCGGAATACTATCAACTATCAAAGGGTGGTGGGTAGGTGGTAACGCTCACCATAACAAAGATGGTAATGCTGCCTACAGACGAAGTTATAATAACTTTGCTGAGAATAGTGCGATAAAGCCCACTGATATAACTCGCGCTCGTGCTCGTTCTAGAGCTAAGCGAAGGAGTGGTAGCGACTCGCCTCCTTATTACGATGGCGGTGGCGCTAGTAACATGAATACACGGCGACAATCTCATGGATCAATAAGAGAGAAAAAAAAGAGAAATTCGTGGCAAGGGAATAAGGGACGACGGGGATCACTGTTGCCTCCTTTAACGATACCACCTGTAACGCCATCCGTCGTCCTATCTCAGAATTCGCCTACGATATTGTCTCCAATGCCCGGGACGCCCCCTGGACGACCAAAGACAATGTTTACTATAAGTCGCAAAGGAGCATTTGTGCCTAACGGTAGTTCTTGGGGGCGTAAGACTGTTAAGCGCAGAAGTACCGGTAACGGAATTAACAGCCTCATGGAGAGTTTTAATGCCGCATCTAGTTCATCCAGTAGTCATGCACATCATTTAAACACGTAGAAATTATTTTCTCCTTGTTAAAGAGTATCTAATAAATAATTAAACCAAGATTTTATTAAGTGTCAAGATACACTTCCAGAAAAAGTCATTAATTGACATTTATTATTTGATTATTAAATATTCTAACTAATATTTAATATCCTGTAGGCACTGAATGCAGTTTCCCAACATATTTGGTTAACATATAAGAGTGCAGGTTGGTTTTGGTCACCAAAGAACATCCGAAGTAACTAATGATAAAACGGTATATGAAGGTGCTCTTAATTCATAGGCTTATTATTAGTACAAGAGGCGAAGAGAAGTCGTGGCTGTCAAACTTACATATTTGGTTTCTGTGATTGGTCAAGTTGTCAGAAAAGTATTTATACGAAAATCTGCATGTGGATGTTTGACTACATCATGGTTACAAATTCCCTAATGTTCATCGGAGTTATGATACATTCTTTTACAGGTCTTTTCGCAGTGCCATGTGTTCATTGTGGGTTCCGTTTTTGGGTTTCGGAAAAATCATGTTGTATTAATCGCGAAGAACTTTTTTGTACTTATTGCGAGGAGGCCGTGTCTATTTAGTAAAAAAAAAAAACAATTGTTGGCGACCTTTTTCTAGCAATTTAGTTAATCTCACTATACAACACATCTCGCATGTAAATGACCGGACAAATATAATGGAAGGGAGGGAAAGATACTAAAGCTAGAAGTGACTTGCAAGACACAGCGATATTTAAAATCCGAACAATTGTTTGCTTGCTTCATTGTACCATAACACGAACGGCGGGGCAGAGTATGACAGAGGCGGAAATGTCAATATGTGTGGAATGTCTTACTAATAAATGACTATAATCAAATATGTGGTGTTTCGTGGCAGATTGTGACCAGGGAGTTGAATCTAGAAATGAATAATCGCATAGAGTACTTGCGCATTAACTAAGCATTGAGCATTAGGATTGGTGATATGATAATGAGGTTATAGTTCTATTTAAATGAGAGTTCCACCAATTAACTTGCTCTGTTTTGTGTGCACACATTGTAATTATAATTTGTGACAATGGATGATTTTTGTTAAATTGTCAGATTCTATCGCACCTTATCAGCAAGTCGTGCTATATATAAATGTGTGTGTGTATGTATCTATAATACGAATCATTGATAATCCGTAGTATTTAAGACTCTTCTTACAAACCGCGAGTTAATCACATTTTCTAGGTCACGAGTTCGACCAGATGACATTTGAAATAGGGGTAACTGTAACTTTAAGGGGTTGCTGATCTCATACGCTTTGGGAGCGCAACATCCGAAATTGTACATTTCCAGGAGTATTAGTGTCTCTAGTCTTAATGTATTTCATATCCCTCATTTGGAATGAACTTGTAATTCCTTAAAACAAACCGACACATCGATAATTATCATGTCAAAAACGAGTTTTCTATCCGCATTCAGCGTTGGTGAGACACATGCGAAGAAAGAAAAATTTGAAATTTTTATCTTCTGGCTCGTTTTTCGATTTGTTGATTTGATTTTTCGGGATTAATATAGTAAAACTTTAACCAATGATAGGCAATTATGTAATTATTGTTTTTATTTTCAATAAACACCAAATCAGCATTGTTTTTGAATAGTTTATGTATTTTGCAAAAAGTTGTCGTACATAATAGCCAATTTATTCTATGGCTTACGTATACTAATACGTAAATTAATCACCTCAATCATAATAAATATGTTGTTATTCTCTTTCCGCCAAATGTGATTTTACTTTGGTGGTTAAAAATTCAAACACCTTCTGCCGGCAGGTTATTTAATTAATATTTAAGAACAATTGTCCTACGATAATTAATTTTTGAAAGTATAATAAACGAATGGTCGACTAATATAAAGTTTGTGTGATGTGCGTATAATACGGTTTGACCTAAATTTTGCATTTTTACGACGCGCTCGCATTTACGGTCAAGCCAACAATTACTGAGAGCAATTGATCATTGACATCAGGAATTCAACTGGTTCAAAAATGTGAGCGGAAAAAATTATTGCACTTTGTATATTTTAAATAGCAAATTTGCAGATTGAGAATAAGGTAAGTGCCTAATAAATTAAGAAGATCGACAACATTCGTCCTAAGTTCAGTTCGTCAGATCGAGTACGATTAGTTATGAGTACGTTTATAGAATTACGTATTGGCATATTTTTACTTTGGAACAATGCAATTATAGAAACTGAGATATGATACTTATCGTCAATATTACTCTGAAAATATATCGCATACGTGGGGGGGGGGGGGGCGGAAAAGTTTTGTCGCCGATTCTTTATTTCGATAATTTTAAATGCAATTATTCAAAAAACAATTTAATTTTCTCAAAG